ATCTGTACTTCACAAATCTTTATAAGCACCTATTACTTTTTTAATTTTAAAAAGATCATAATTTATATTCCCTAAAAGAAGGAAAATCCCAACAGGACTTTTCATGGAACCTGGAAAACTGATTCTAAAACTCAAATGAATTTAATAATTTCTCTCTTAATGGCCTTTTGGACATAAGAAGAGTCAGGCCAACTATGAAGAACAAAAATAATGTGAGATTTGCTTTAGAGACATCAATACTTGTTTTAAGTGGTATTGGCACAGAAATAGAAAAAAAGGCTAAAGGAGAAGTACAGAGAGCCTAGAAAGAAGCCCACATATAAATGGAACGATTACGATGGATTATTCAGAAAATGAGACTAGGAAAACTATTATACCCTTAGAAGCATAAGATTAGAGCCCATCCATAACACCACACATACACACACACACACACACACACACACGCGTGCGCGCGCACACACACACACACGCACACACGCAAGATGACATGTCTCAAAACTGTTGGTGGGAGACACATGAGAATTGATTCGAGAACATATAAATGTGAAAGAACTCTTAGGTATCTTATAAGAAAATATAAGACACTCGGGCAGCTACCCTCCAAAAGAGCCTCCAGTGACCCTCACACTTTGAAAGTGACTTCAAAGGCTAGATCATAAAAGACATTAGCTTCCACCTCATTCTCTTGGCTCACTCACCGACTTGGGGAAGCCAGCCTGCATATCATGAGGACACTCAAGTGGCCTTACTAAAGGACCATATGAAGAGGAGCTGAGGCCTCCTGCCAAAAGCCCACACCAACTCACCAGCCATGTGAGTGGGCCATCTTTAAAAGCAAGTCCTCCAGCCCTCGTTAAAACTTCAAATGACCAAAGCCCTGACTAACACTAACACCTGATGCAACCTCTTGAGAGAGCAAGACCAGAACCACGCAGCCAGCCGCACTACTCCCAGAAACAGAGAGAAACAATGTTTACTGTTTGTTTTCTCTCATAGGTTTGGTAGTAATGTATTATGCAGCAATAGATAATTAATAAAGACACTATCACTATAACCCAGTGTAGGAAAGGAGGTTCTTAAATATACCAGAAACAAAACCATTGAGGAAAAGACTGATAAATGTATCTACATTAAACTGAAAAATCTAGTACAAAGAAAGTTAGCACAGATACTACTAAGAGACCAAGCCACAAACTGAAAGGAGATATTTGCAATTCAAATAACAAATGATTACTATCAATATATGAAGAATTCCTACAAATCAGTAAGAAAAAGACAAATCATCCAATACAAAAAAGGGATGGGGACAAAGGATAGAAAAACAATTCATAAAAGGTATTAAAAAGTGATAAACATATAAAAGAGAATTCAAAACCAGAGAAATGCAAATTTAAAACACTGAATACCATTTCTCACACATCAGAGTAACAAAAATTATGTTTGACAACACGAAGTGCTGGTAAGGGCATGGAGATGACATGTCTCAAAACTGTTGGTGGGAGTAAACTGGTAACAACCACTTACTTTAGCAAACGACACACAGAATCTGGTCAAGGGAAAGGCTGAGCATACCCTATGACTTGGCAATTTTATACTTGCAATTGGTGGAGAGGAAAAGTTTTCCTCTACCTTTATAGGTTCTTCCAGCTGGTTTAATACTTAAATCAATATGAGACACATTAACAAGAGAAAACAATCAGATTTAATTACATGTATACGTTCAGGAAGCCCACATACATGAGAGGTTCAGTGACAGAAAGGTAAAATAAGGTATATGTGACATACCGAGCTAAGGAATGACATAAGGGGTCTGGGGCTTCAGAGGGGAGGAGGGTAATTCGCAGGAAAAGAAGAACAGATGTTCAGTAATTAGATGTTTGCCCTGCCATATCGCTAAATCATAAAAGGTTATTTCTGTTATGATGGGTAAGACCTCCAACTGAGATTCTACTAGGTAGTCAAGGGAGAGGCAGAAGCTTCTTCCAAGTCCACAGAGTCTCAACTGTCGTCAGCTCTAAATCATCCACAGGCCAACGGGGCACATCTTGTGGCTGGGAAAAATCCATGTGAACACATGGAACAGGAACAAAAACATTCACTGCACCACTTCTGTAATATGGAAGAACTGACAACCACTTCATGCCCCTCAACAGAACATGCAAAACCACACAGCAGTGCAAATGAAGAAATCAGAACTCCATGTAGCTACATGAACACATCTTAGAAAAACGTTAAAAAAGAATGTTGCAGAAGATATGTGCAGTAAGGTATCACTTAATAAAGCCTGTAAACATACTAGTTCTACTGTTTATATGTACATTTATACATAAGAAAAGAATTTTAATATAAATGCACGAGAATGCTAAAACCCTGAGGTATGTGTACCTCTGGATAACAGAGTACTATTAGGAAGGAAACTTCAAGTGTATTTGTAATATTTGATTAATAAAAGAGAAATCTGATAATAAAGTATGACAAAGCTAAGAGATGCATACTTGAGTGCTCATTTTATCATTCTCTATACTTTTTCTATTTGCTTGAATATTCTAAAACAGAATATTTTTAACCAAAATATAATGGCAGATAATAGACTTAAGCAATATTTGCAGCAGGAGAGATCACAAGAGAGTTTATACAAATTGATAAGACAACCAAGCATCACGTTCTGTGAATATACACAAATGATTTATAAAAAAAATTAACAAAAAAGAAAATTGTACTAGCAAATAAATAAGTAGCAAAATGTATACGCTCAAGCTCATGAGTAACTTTTCATCTTAGACATATCCACTGAGTGCCTAGTAAGGTCTTGGCACTGTTCTACGCTCTGGGAACATAGCAGTGAACAATATAGCTATTAAACACTGAGCTTTATATTCTGAAAGATGGAGGCAGTCAATGAAAATACAAATAAACAAAAAGTCGGATGTCGAATGCTATGGAAATGAAACAGGTGATGTGGTCGAGATGGAGGAGGAAGAAAACGGTACTTAAAATTGGGTGTCAAAGACTCATAGATGGCACTGGTCCTGCAACAAAAATAATGAAAAGTCCTTTAAAAAGGT